ACCACGATCCCAATAAAATTAGATTCTGAAATCTTACACAACTATCCCGACGTGTAACCATGTACTTATTTTTTTTTCTTTCCATAAACTCTCTAACACCATGCTAAAACTATATCGATAAGTACTAAACGTAGCCAAATCGACCGACTCCGTTTTCCAAAGTTTTTAAAAAAAGGAGCTTTAGCCATATCGTCTGGAGCCTGAACTTAAGTCCCTACTATGATATGCAATGGAACAAGAGGAACCACACTACTTTGCATGTGGGCTTTTCGACTAGCTCCCAGTCCATCCGGCAGGGTTTTTTTCGCTAGTGCGCACAAGGTTCTCGGACTTTATTTTCCCATCCCGTGTCATTTTAAATACAAGTCAGACTATGACGAAACTTCTAGCAAAACAAGCTTTAGTTTTCAAAGATTGCTTCAGGTATTAATCGGATAGAAATACACTTAAAAGGTAAAAGAGAGAAAATACAATAGGAGTTTATTCTGAATTAACAAAAGGAGCTTATCGCCCGCGAACTTCACAAATACTTCAACAAAAACTTCTTGGCAAAACATCATGGCAGAACAAAAGCAAACAGTTTCTTTAACGAATACTGGGGGCGAATATGACAATATAATGAATTAAATCAGTGTAAAAAAAAATTTTTTAATGGAAGCTAAACAAATTTGAATTAATTAATCAAGTTTCCAAAACGATTTTTTTTTTCTTTAAAATGTCACAATTATTTATCATCGAACAGAACTTTTTGCAATAACAAACGTAATTTCTTTTACAAATGATTGGGTGCGAATATAAATATATCATTAATAAATTTCAGTTTAAATCTTTGAAAAAGTTCCCAAACGAATTTCTAAATTAACGTTATTAATATCTGCAAACATCTTCATATGCCACTTGTCCTTGCCAAATCCTAGATGCATGACAAATAAAACAGCAACTCCCAATCACTGGATGTCCGATCACTTAATGATGAGACATTATTCGTACGTACAATTAATGCGAACAGCGAACCGCACGTGCCGCCCAACCAGTGTCGGCTGATGACTGCAAATGGTGCCCGACTGCAAACTTACTGCAAATATATGGAGTCCAGAGAGGCCACATAAAGCTTATTCTCGATCATAACCCTACCTAAAAACACGTTAGAGTTGTGCAGCAGCAGGATTTCAGTCAAACCAGTGAGTTTGGCGGTTTTGAGACATTTTTTTTTCATTAAAAAAAAACTTTTTGATTTTGCCGACGCGCATGGCCGGCCACGGCAACGCGCATACCAGAAACCGGAGACTTTTTTTGGGGGGGGGGGCCTTATGGATTTTCACAAAGAATTCCTTGAATGTCATTTTAAGATTCCACTGAAAGAAATTTCCTGTTTTTGTTTTTTTGGAAAATGTTCGCATTCTCCGATGTGTAGAGCAAATATTGCCGTCTTGCGTGCACGTGCACGAGAGCCGTATACGTACGCCGCAGTGAAGTCCTAACCACGTGGCCATTGTAGAATGATATAGCATAACGAATTTTTCTATTGGCTAACGCGATGTCAACAAAGACTTGCTTTCAGCAACCTGAAAGCGTTTAGTTTTAAAAAATGATCGTTAGGACACTTTGTTTCCATGATTTCTGCCACAATTTCAAACAACAATTTCATCAAAAATCGGTTTCCATGATGCATGACGTCCCTAGGCTCGAAAGTCTGTACGGCCGTGTAACTCGCGGTCAACCAATAGAATTGCTTGTATAGGCACGGACATTTTCGTGGGAATTTCCCCTGTCACGCAATACCGCGCTGCTGTACAGCTAGCTAGCTCAGAACTTCGCTCGTAACCCCCGCTCTGCATGGCGCACGCACAGGAACATGAGACGTACACAGGACCAGACTTTTTGGATTGCATTGACGAAGTTTTGAAGTACATGCAAACTATAACACGATGTTTTCTTTTGGATAATAAGACAGAAAACAAATTCACTTGCTGATCATGACTATAAATCATTTTGGCGGTCGGCGATTTTGACCAATTTCGATCGAAAGTCGATATAGTAATAGTTTTGTTCTCTAATAAACCCATACAATTGTGTGGGGTCGCATTTATCGCTTTCAAAAATGGGGTCGGTCGGGTGACCCGAACCAAAGGTGTTTTTTTGTTTTGTTGGCCTAAAGGATCGCCATTATGCCAGTGCGGCCCATTGGCGCAACAATTCGTGTCTGTTTAGAAAAAAAACATGCCATTCATAAATTACAACTAAGCCTTTCTAAGATAATCAGGCCATCTACTTACCCCTGGACGCGCGGTTTGGTAGCGGTCTCATACCCTTCAAATTATGTGGACCATCAACACAGTCGTTGTTCAAGACCAACAATTGCAACAAAAGACCGTTTAGCACCTAGCGAACACGCAGAATCCGCCCCCCCCCCCCGGCTGAGAGATGATCAAAATAGCCAGGCCCTGTTAGGGTTAATGCCCTATAATTATAATTCTCTGTCTCTTCCTTAACCCTTTGGCTACCAGGAGAATAAAGTACCATGAGTCTCCATTACCAGGAGCGTTTGGAAAAATTTCATTGTGTAGCGCCCTCGCATTTCATGCATGGAGGACAGAGCCCGTAGTCTGGTGCCCCAGACTTGACAATTAGTCCCGACGCTCACGTCTAAATTGTAGGTCAGGCAGCCTCCGTGGCTAAAAATAGACATGACGACATTGACGGCCCTTTTTCAAAGCTCGGCTCCGTTTCCGATTTCGCTTTATCACTTATAGCTTTTTACTGTTCTGATCAAATTTGTAAATAAATCACTTGCTTTATAATATCATAAAGTTACGATAATACTGTTTGATTTTTCTGTGAGATAACATTGACTAATGTTGATCTGGAATCTTCAAAATTAGGCACCCAAATAGCACTGTTAGCAGGTTGAGCCGAATGAAGACCGAGTTTTGGAAAATCTCGGTAACGGTCGTCAAATTCAAAATAGTACATGACGCAGCAAAAAGTTCGCCCATACGATCCGAGTATACTTGATGCAAAAAATCGTCGTTGATTTTCAAGTTTTCGTAATAATAATAAAATGTAAAATAAGTAATTAGCAGTTAATTAAGCCTATATTATACTCGGAAATACTCGGGCGCTATCCGATTGTCGACGAAATGAACTCGGCAAACTTCGGACATTTTCGGAAAAGGGAGGAATTCCTCCCGTTTTAGTCACGTGTATTACCGGAGGCTACCTGACCTAGATTCATCAGGAATAGTCAGAATATTTTGGTTTGGGAACCAGACTACAGAGCCCATTGCTTGCCCAGCAAATGTAAACAATATGTGAACTTCCCAACCGCCTGCATGTTTATTACCCTTAATGTGTTCAATAACAGGTTTAACTATTTGACAGTAAATTCCTTACATTATCTAAAGAGAACATATTTTCCAATAATATGAAGCTGATAAGATATTGCTTTCGGTAGCACCATGTGATAAATCTCTTATGTGAGTACGTGTGGTCCTGAAGAGAAGAGGAGGGAACTCAACGTTTCGGACAGTATGCTCTGCCCGTCGTCAGGAGACTGAGGGATTCGAACGGTGAAGCGGGGTTATATGGTGCCTCATACAGGACGTACGTAGGGGTGCTGGATGATCAGTTAGGCGTGTCAGTCTGAAGGAAGGGCGTGATGAAGGGAAGGTTGTCAAGGGTATAGGGGACCCAAACGCTGGAGAACTAAGTTGTCCTTTGGGTATAGGACTTCGAGGACAGGATGGGGTACCAGATGTCACTGATAGAGAAACCGACGTCTTTGGGAACCGCGTGTTGTTTTTGACGGTTTCAATGGCTTCTCTGCTGCGCCTTTGGTACGGCCAGGTTCCAGTTGATCTGATGGTCTCCATTTTTAGTGTTCTGGTGATGGTTCAAGTACTGTTATCCGTTAGGTCATACTATTTTATTTCTTTTGTTATCGTTTAAGTGTCCTTCTTATATTGTTTTATGTTTTGAATTACTGATTAGTATATTGTCCGATTTTCAAGCAACACAGCCCCTTGAAAATCAACCTTGGTTGAATGGTTTACTGTGTATAAACACGTTTAAATAATAGAATAATAAAATAATAAAATAGTCTTCGCTGTTGGAGTGTTTGACTGTGGATGACTTATCAAAGTGTCCCTTTGTGCCACGGGCTTTGTGTTCATTGAGTCTGGTGGGGAGGTCCCTGCCAGTCTCGCCGATGCACACTCTGCCACCGTTGGATCCTGCCAATTTTAGACTTGTTAACCCTCAGGGTGCATTCGTAGCCCCCTCCAGTGTGAATACACCCTACATCACAGCAGTGAACAATTGTTTGTGTCTTTCCAGCAAGTCGAGAGCATAAAGTAAATTGATGTTTTCTGCCCCTATCATATTTAGGCCTATGTATTAGATGAATAACATCCGCCCAGGGGCGGCGGAACCGAGGGGGGCTGGGGGGGGGGGGGCGTTTGCCCCCCCCCAGATTTTCCCAAGTGTCCCTTTTGCGGCCATAAATGTGCCCCCTCGAGCATTGAGGTGTCCCCTCGAGATAAATAAAAAAAAAACTTAAAGTATCTTACTATTTCTTCGAAGTAACCATTTCCCAATAATGTTAGAGAATTGTTTGATATAAACGAGGAATATGAAAACCAAGTCCCAAAACCCATACAAGACTCCCTGAAAATGGGCACATAATGTATGTTTAGCATATAATCATTGGTTTTGAAAAGCGCCCCCTATGTTGAAAGATGGTACCAGCCCCCCCCCCCCCCCCCCCCCCCACCCCCCACTATTTGATTCTACGGAGGCGAAGTGTCCGGTGAAAAAAAACGTGTCGACATTTCAGCAAGTTTTGCACGGGTTTGCAAGTGCCCCTTTTGGTTTGCAAGTGCCCCTTTTAGGTGCTCCCCCCCCCCCAGTTTCAAACCCGTTCCGCCGCCGCTGCATCCGCCACTCACAATTAACCCTTCACATTCCTTTTAGATACCATTGTCTGGTTTATTTCCCAACAGATAACGATTTTCCAGTAAGGCTTGTTGGTGGAACTTCGGTACGGAACGGCGCACTCGAAATAAACTTCCGAGGTGATTGGGGAAGTGTATCGTCTGACAAGTGGAACGCCTTGCAGGATGCCAGTGTGGTTTGCAGAGAGCTGGGCTTCAACGGGTTGCATATATCATACGCACTCAATCGTCTATTCGTTAGTTCATCGCTCCTCCAAGGTGTTGAATGCAGTGGGGAGGAGATGGTTCTTGCTGATTGCGCTATCGATGGTTGGTTACTGGCTAAAACCTCCTACCGAGTTTTCGTGTCTTGTGGAATTGGTAATTGTCTTGTTTTCCATTCTTTTTAAATACATGTAATATAATTATTTTTATTGAAGAAAATTGAACCTCCTAAACATTTTAACCATACACGGAGAAATTCAGGGGAATAGGATGTGGCCCAATATGTGTTCGAGGGTAATATTCACGTCATGGTTTCGTAAAGCTCATAATGCTGACCCGACCAAAAAAAAATTCAAAATTATTTGCATTGCAATACAAATCGTTACATTTCAAATATTACAGCACCAGACCTTGTCCAATTTAACTGAATTATGACCACATTTCAAACAGATGACGAAGCATTCTTGACCGTTCGACTGGTGGATGGGCTGTCTTCTACCCAGGGACGTCTGGAGGTTAACTTTGACGGCCATTGGGAAAGTATAAACAGTAAAAACTGGGATGATGCAGCCACCAGTGTTGTGTGTAGACAACTGGGACATTACGGCCATAATGTATCCGTGCAACGCGACTTCTTTGGGCGGGGTGAAATGCGCGCATTGATTCCATACCGGTTCGAGTGCAGAGGTGACGAGGCCACACTTGCAGAGTGCCAGATGAGTGATGATGGCGTCGAATACTATGGAAGTTCAGTGGGAATAGTGTGTCAGGCAGGTGAGTTTTGTTTCTGCAGTGGCGTACTTGGGGAGGTGGCCCATCCCAATCCCCGCTGGAGGTCTGCCTCCCCTTGTGCAACATTAACCTTTTACAAATTGTATCTAATAATACAAAAATATATTGAAGTCCCCTTTACAGAAAATGAGCTCCCTCCTAAGAGCCCAACCCCCCTGCAATATTGACCCCAGATTGTATTGTCGTTTCCATCGGCTTTCTCTTATCGTAGCCGAGCGGTTAGAGCGTGGAGCTACGGAGTGGAAGGTTGGCGGCTCGAATCCCATTCGGACCAAAAACTGGAAAACTCTCTTTGACAACCCAATAGTAAAATGGGTACCTGATTCGTTCAGGGGAGATAAGACGGCGAGAGGAGAGGACTGGGCACCGCCATTCATATGCTGCACCCAAGACACAGTAGACCTCTACCAAGCTCAGTAAGAGATTCCTCTTCTGCAAGCCTGGTCTTGCTTAGGGCTGCGAAGTCAATGCTGTAACGTGAAATTCCTTTGGCGACTTAGGCTGTTCTCCTCTGTGGTCTTCCTGACTTGTCCCTGTCCGTAAGAATGCGTACTTTCCATGTTCCAATAAGTAGTTTCATTCTCTTTTTCTGTCGACCGCATCAATGGATGATCTTCCTGATGGTCGTGGGGCAGGCGAAGTTTAGACCACCTTTTATAGACCCCTCCTAAAACGGTGAGCAACGTTATCCTGAAGATGTTTGTTTAGTCTCACTTGATACTAACGGACTCCTCTGCTGACCCGGGGTACCAAGAAGAACGACCACTGGTCCAATGCCCACCTATACGTGCAGGTTCGTAACTTCAACTCTCAGTTGTCACCTCTACCTGTTGCTTCGCCACTCCAACATCGCTGCAGGACTTGTATAGTAGGGTTAAGGACGAAAGTGCACAACGAAACATGTGCTCGAAAGATATTTAAGTTGGAACGACTTTGCACAGGGGCAATCCAACTCTCTGAAGTCGGGGTCCAGTGGCAAGAAGATCGTTATAGCTGGAGACCTCTTTGGCTGAATTGGATGGTCGTGATATTACGGCCTCCGCACTGTACTCATTTATGTGCTGCTGCGATGCCTTTCCAGCCGTTGAGTCTCGGGGATTTCCTCTGCCTTGGCCGCCCAGGCAGTCTTCACAAGCTGGGATTGCAGATCCCTTATCACCGTTGTTTTGGAATCCATCGGCTACCCTCACCTGGTTTAGCCGGCCTGTCAAAGCTATTACCTGGGTAGTGGCCATTGCCGCATGCAGGCACACATGTGAGAGCTGGGTTGCCAGCCTGGACCCATGAAAGCCACTTGGAGAAGTGTGACAATACTACCTTTAGAGGTGGATCCCTCCGTTACAACCCAACACAACCCCAACCACGGAGAGGGTCTACCCGATGTTCCCCAATACCTGTGTTCCCCAATACCAATGTTCCCGAAATCCTTAGTCCTGATTCGGGTTAGGTTTAGGGTTGGTGAACATTGGTATTGGGGAACATAGGTATTGGGGAACATAGGTATGCACCCCCAGGGAGGTGCACCAACCGCATCCACCTCTTTCACGACGCCACGGTAGAAGTACTCTCATGTGGTGAACTTTCCGAGAGTTTTAATATTTCAAACGGGGTGAAGCAGGGCTGTGTACTTGCTTCAGTACTTTTTTCACCTGTTTTTTTGCTGTGAGAGAACTGAACATGGGGGTCTACCAAAGGTACCGCCTGGACGGGTTACTGTTTGACCGCGTTACCCGTATGGACGAGTCCAGGATTCCACGGCAGATATTCTACGGAGAGCTGCAGATGGCAGACGCAGACAGGATTGCCCGAGGAAGACGTGCGAGCACAACCTCAAGTCCATGCAACCTGAAGTGGGCAGACCTCCATCCACGACACTTTGAACCTGCTGCCCTAAACCGAACTAACTGGCGAACATTAACCATGAAAGTGGCAATGAACCTCGAGGCCGATCGTTGTCTGCGCTCGCTGCTGCACGTGACCGGCGACACAGATTAGCATCTGCCCTTTTCCTGACAAGCGGTGTCACGTGCCATATTCTTATCGCCTCTGCGCATCAAAATACGGCCTGCCAAGCCATATGCGCACCCGCAGACGATAACTGCAGAACGCATCGTCTTTCTCGGTTCTCGAGATACAGCCACCGATCGTAGCGTGAAATAAATTGAATTCCTGTCTTCTTTTGTTGCAAAATGCCAATAAGAGAGACACAAACACATGATTCCTATATCTCAGAAAACAAAGAAACTTTTTTTTTCCTCAGCCAACAACACTCGAACTAAACAAAACAACACAGCTGACACCACAGCAACTCACATCGGACTTAACTTATACACTGTGTTGCATCGCCCACTCGCCTGGGCGTCTGGCCAAACCCTTCCGCGTAACTGAATAAAAGAGACCAAATTGATAATCTATTTGCATAACCTAATTTCTGGAGAGCGCTTGTATACTTGCCACCACATTGTCAATCAACTATACCGGCAGTATAGTCCACCAATACCGGCGGTATTGGCGGTAGCAAGAAATAAACGAAAAGAAAAATACTCCCCAAACGTGTCTGTTAAAATATATTTATCACGTTTGACAGTAGCTGGCAGGACAGGGCTGCGTACAGAAAAGGGTGTTATTTTGTTTCCACACCGTTTACCTAATTATCGTCTTGGTATGAAGTGTGTATAGTTGAGACTGTCGAGTCCTGCACCAGTGCCCCGAACGAGACTCACAAGTTTATTACAACTCGTATCAAAACCCAACACGTCACAAGCTAATTCAAATGGACTGTGACCAGCGACGTACCTCGTTTCTAACTTGTGGGGGCACAGCGAGGCACTGATTGTGGCAAAGGTATTTCTTTACAGTCTTAGAACCGCCTTTGCCCTGGTCCTTATGACCTAATTGTAAATTAAATTGTGATTTGATTGTGAACTGGCGTGTGATGGACTTGATATAAAGTGAAAAAATAACAGATTTGTTTTTTGTTCATTTCGCAAATTTAAAGTTGAGGAGCACCCAGTTCGACTTATTGGTGGTCATTCCAACGTATCGGGGTTGGTCGAAGTTTTCTTCAATGGTTACTGGGTAGCCGTGTGTATGAATGACAACACTGGTGAACTGTACGGACGTGTAGTCTGCTCACAACTCGGTTACGACGGACCAAGCGTGAGCACGAATGAACAGTTCTTCACTGGTGGGCACGGACATTTGGTTAAGTATGGTATGGATGCTGTACAGTGCGCTGGAAACGAGACTAAGCTGGTGGATTGCGCCTTCAAAGGCTGGGGAACTCGTAGGTGTCCATCCTACTCTGTCGGTGTTGTGTGCCAATCAGGTATGAGCCTATAACATGGATAATGCATTTATGTCGTTTCCGGAGGGCCAGCCTATACAGGGTGTCCCACATAAATGGTAACTTCCAGGGACATTGATATCTTGGATGCACACATCTGGTCATGCATCACTGAGTTCCATTGTTTTGACAAATGGTGTGTAATAACCTTTTCAGGACAGTTTGAGTAAAACATTGAAAACACAGCCACATCTAAGCCACATCTGAACAAAACAGATTTTCCGACATTAGGTTTTGCAAGCGAACGGATACGCTTACACTTACGCTTAGCTATCCGTATCCGTTTTTTACTTACGTGTAGCGAGCGAGATATGCGTGTCGTCTGCACGTTTAGTAGATAGTGAGTGGCGTATGACGTCATACGTGCAGACGACACGCATATCTCGCTCGCTACACGTAAGTAAAAAACGGAAACGGACAGCTAAACGTAAGTGTAAGCGTATCCGTTCGCTTGCGAAACCTCCCTGATATCTTGTGATGCCGCATCGCGAGTTAAATTTCAGGAACTTTCGGGGACACAGTAATGTCACTGAATCATTCCTTGGAATGACCTTCCACATGACATAATTTGACACCTTGAGATTTTTTTAGGGGGGGGGGAGAACAAAAGAACAAGGTTTTCTGCAATCAACTCCCCGACCTTCAGGATTTGCAGTCCTGCATTTTGCACGAGGTGGACAACCTGCAATGGTTACTTAGATGGCATAATGGGCCACGGAAGATATGCGCCACTGCTGAAGACTTTGTGTAAAAAAGGCAGGTGGACATAATGTGGAGGGTGATGTATGTAGTAAGGTCTTGAATCCTGAATGGTTGAGATTATCATTTGACAAAAATTGTGTGTGTTCATGATTTCATAAATTAACATTTCCCATTGAAACGTCTTATGTCTGGCTGTATTTACAATGTTTTAGCCTAAGCTTCTAAAGAAGCTTTTTACATACCATCTTAAAAAGCAATGGAAATCAGTGACGAATGACCAGATGTGTACCTCCAAGATATCAATGAAACACATAGTTTATGATAAAACCATACTTGTAGTCATAAATATCATAGTTTGTTAATATTATCCCTTTTTGTGGGTTACCTTTGGGGGGGGGGACAACCTGTATAGTCCACCTGTACCTATCTCACTGACTGACTCACTCATTGACTGACTGACTGACTGTCACTTGTCACTAAGCCTGCTTGTTGGCTGGTGAAAGCCGGGCAGTCTCATTGTAATAGATTACCTCCATATTAGGCTAAATCCAGTCCATTGTGTACACAAGATGCATGGCAAGACTTCCAGTGATCAGCTTTACTAGGCTTGCTTTGCTTCAACAGATGTTGAATTTTTTTTTCGACGCGTCCAAAATGAATTGCAAGTGACTACTCGTCCTCTTTTCAAAGCATCCTTGTTTTAATCGTTGTTCTACTTTTGAATATAATAATACTGTGACGAAACTTGGAGGTCTAAGGACTTAAAATTAGTGCGATGGCTTCTGCTCACCGGACACAATTTAACAGATGAAAAGAACGGGCCAGTGACTGGGTATAACAGAAAATTTGGGGGAACATTGCCCGAACACAGATGAAATAAAGGGAGAAGATGGAAACGAAATATACCGTCTTGGGACTCTCTGATCATTTAATAATTACATTTCCATAACAAATCATTCATAAGGTCTACACTTACAATGCATAAGTCAGTGTTCCATTTTTTTCTGGTCCGAGGTGATGCGCATCCGATTCGAATCGTAGATGGCATGTCAGATACGGCTGGTCGTGTTGAGGTACTGTTCAAGGGAACATGGGGAGCTATATGCAGCGATGGATGGGATAACGCAGATGCTAGCGTAGTATGCCGGCAGCTAGGCTACTTCGGCCCAAACGTCTCGGTGATTGTTCCACTGTACTACGGCTCAGACTTACCACTTTATCTTACCAATGTCGGCTGCAAGGGTCACGAGGACAAGCTCACGAACTGTCCTCTCCGATGGTGGAGTGTTCCATGTTTCACACTTGCAGGTGTACGATGCCAAGCAGGTGAGAAAACTGACCAGCCAAACGACCAATATGACCGACTCCTAGACCGCTTGTCCAGCCGACTGCAGCAAACAAACCAACCAAACAGCCGACTGACTGTTTGAACAACTGAACGACCAACTGACTGATCGACAGACAAACCAGACGACCAAATGACAGATCAGATGACCTACTAACCAACAAACCGACCAACCGTTTAGCCGACAGACTGACAGACCGACCGGCCGACTGCTCCACCGTATGACCGCCCAACCAACCAACCTAGCCGATCGACCGACATACCTACCGATCAAGAGACAACAACCTGACCACAAATTCTCTCACTTATCTCCTTACCAATGCCTCTTCCCCAAACCTCCACTCCCGCCTTTTCTCCACATCCCACAAGAACTGAACACATTTAAACAGATCTACAATGGCGCCTTTACGACGATTCTGATACATAGACAGAGAATGACGATGTTTTCTCTAATAATCTCCGTGGTTTGAATTCATCTAATTTCAGAGGATGAGTACCCTATCAGACTTGTTGATGGTCCATCGAGTACGGAAGGTCGCGTTGAGATGTTTGCCAACGGCGAATGGGGAACAGTATGTAACGACGGTTGGAACGCCAATGCTGCCAGTGTCGTGTGCAGGCAGCTCGGCTACAACAACGGGTCCAGCATATCTATCGCCAATGAACTCGTTGAGCAGAGCGCCGGTGTTATACAGTTAAGTAGTGTGAACTGTAGAGGCGATGAAGAGAGACTGATAGATTGTTCATTCCCTTCCTTGGGGGCTTATTATTGGACCTGTACCGGACATGGAGCTGAAATCGGCGTTATTTGCCAAGCAGGTTTGGAAGTTGTACTTATTATAGACCAATCCAGGCTCACTGTCACTGCACACTCACACCATTGTTGTGTTTTCCAACTGTGTCCCCCTTGATCACGTGACACGTGAAGCTGATGTTCAGATGATCCGTCTTACGCAGTTGATTGACCAATATCAGTAACAACGCTTTCGCCATTGAATTGTCCTCATGTGGATGTACTTTGATATGGTCCGGTAACTTAGAGCTAATTTTGGGGAAGATCGTGAGAAGCACCTAATTTGGTACACTTGCTGTCTAGGTCCCTAGAAGTCATCCTAGAGGAGGTACCCAGTTTTGGCAGCCTAGATCAGGCTTAGGTCAAAGTTTAACATGTGTGCAATACTGCATATAGTTGTCGTAAATTTCCACAAAACTCTGATATTTAAGGTTCTGAATAGCATAAAAGGATGCCAAACAACAGTACTATAAGACCTACCATATCAGAAGAAAATCAATCAAAAAGCCTTCGCCTAACCAAAAAGTGGAGTTTACTCTATTTCCAAATATGCTGAGTCAGCACTTTTGAGAAAGCTTGCTTTTTGTTTTGTTAATGTCAAAGAATTTTTTCCCATTATTTCTTTGGAATGTGATAATAATCACACAAGCATTAATAATGATCTTCCTTTCTTTTATTTATTAGTAATGGTTTATCATTATCTTAATTAAGCGTCAGTTTGCTTCAAATGATGTTTTTAAAGTTGCCATTATGTCTGCATATGTGTATGTATATGTATTCTCATCACATTTAACTCACAAGGCATGAAGGTGTACAATCAATTTCCAGTATTCTAATCTTGGTCCAGTGTAATAGCTTTGCCCTATTACTACTATAGTTACCCGTGTTTGATATAAGTTTAGTGTGGAAGGTGTACATGCATGTACTTGGATGTCGAGAAAGGTCAGTACTGCATACTGAGCTCTTAAATTGTTATAACCTGTTCATAAAGGTTTATTTTCTGATTTACAATATATTAATTCATATTTTGTGGCCAAAACTCAAGAGAATGCACTGCACGTTTACAATCATTCCTCATCAATAGATTTTAATCATAAATCTTAGCAACCTACGGAATAGTTGGCTATTCTCCAGCCATTGGCTCCGGTCGAAAAAGTTGTTGAGGTCATATACTTCTGGACCACATTTTCAAACTAGCCTTATTTTCATCATTGAGAAATATAATATTTGGCATGATAAAGTGTGCACATTTATATGCATTTAGGTTTAGCAACTCGCAATTTTACATTTTGAGCTTTTATGGAATGAAAAGTGTTCTTGAAAATCTCTTGCTTAATTGTGAATCAATCACACACAAGGTATAGGACAGCAATCAATGAACACATCAGGGTGCTATGATGCAAATGAAAAACAACTTGCTTGCACATATCATTACAGATATTTGCCTCATCCGTAATTATACATGCACATTGTATATAAATGTACGCGTACGTATAGATCTACCGTCCACCGTGAAACAATGACACCCAAAGAATAAAACTGTAAACTGGAACGACCAATAGATTTTCAGCAGGAAAAAAATGGAATACTCGAAATTGTCCATACCTTTTCATGCCCTGTGAGTTAAAACGTGATATGTATACAATACATACATATGCATACACAATTAGCTTTAAATCATTAGTGAAATCAAACTAACGTTGTGATTAGGATAATTAATAAACCACGTATAATTTATAAATCAATCAAAGGAAGTGCATTATTTATGCTCGCTGGTATCCTTGTGCCGAAGTAGTGATACGAAAAAAAAACTTCCTTTGTCTATAAATTTTACATAACAGAAAGCAAACTTCCTAAAAAGTGCTGACTCTGCACTTTTTGAAATGGAGTAAACTCCACTATTTTATTGGGCAACGGCTTTTGATGGAACCTTTTCTGAAATGTAAGGTCTTATCGTTGTAAGACATCGTTTTATGCTACTAAGAGTTTAAAATTTCAGCTTTTTGTGGAAATTTGCTTCAAATATATACCGTGTAGTACACTCTGTGAATTTTTGACCTTGGCCTGACCATGACATAGACCGCCAAAACCGGGAAGCCCCTCTAGAAATCCTAGCATTTGGGGCAATATGCAGATCCGTTATTCTTTTCTCCTCTTTTTAGATGAAGACTTCTCCATTCGTTTAGCTGGCGGCGGTAATCCGAAATCTGGCCGTGTAGAATTGTTTTTCAAAGGTCAATGGAGCACTGTATGCAACATGGAATGGGCTGATTCGGACGCTGACGTTGTTTGCAGACAGCTGGGTTTCTTTGGGCCCAGTATCGCATTCACCGGAAAAATCCCGGATGGGGAGCTGCGTCCCTTACATATTTCGTTTGAAGCTTGTCGTGATGATGAAGCCAGGCTGGCGCAGTGCATTCTCGAGGAAACTATCCCTGGCTTCTATGGTTGCAGACGCGACACTGCTGCGGAGGTGATATGCCAAGCAAGTAAGATTTCAATAGAATCAAAGTAACATCTATCTAGCATGTTTCAATTTGTGATAGGAGGGAAGGTGCTTGTGATGCATCGTTTCGGATGCAGAGCTCATTATTCCACAACTGTCAGTAATGAATCCAGGTAGTAGTAGTAGAAACATTTATTTCAATGTTGCCATTTCCAAACAATAAAATGTTACAATGCCGAACATATTATACACAGAGAGCAAATTGCAATGAATTATGTAATTGTGTATAATAATGTACATGATCAATACTAGGACAACTTTACGACAACATTTAGGTATACGGTGAAGCCTCGCGCTTTTGTACCCTAACCTATCGACAGACAAGTGGACATGACCGAGAAAAACAGAGACAGTGACAAAGGACAAAATGGACAACAGTGAGACACACAAAGACACAACCTAGAAAAACAGTTACACGTATGAGACGAGGGCATATATCTAGATTCATAAATTATAACTAGTTGTTCGAGTAATAATTGAGTAGATGTGATCTAAAGTTTTTAACAAAGACAGAGAAGGAAGGTGCTGATTTTAAGAAGTCATATAGACTATTCCAGTATGATATACCACATTGAATAACGCTATTTTTAGACAATGTTGTTCTGTTAAATTGGACATATACATTTCTCCTACTAGTGCTTCGGGTATTATACAAATGGATATCAGATGTGAGCATAAAGAAGGGGTTGAAACAAGTAGGTAATGCATTGTGTGTAAACCTATACATAAATTTACCCAGGTTAAAGTAGTATAAGTCATTGAATTGTAAGAGTCTCAAATTCGCAAATAAGGGAAGGGTATGATCACGATAACCAGCATGAGATATTAATCGTACCGCTCGCTTCTGTAACATGAGCAGTTTGTTGCATTTGGATGGTGAAATACCCCAAGTGGAAATTAAATAAATTTAGATATGGCAAAAAAGGAATTGTACAAAATGTGTAAGATTCTACTGGGGAGGTAATATTTTAAACGATTCATTATGCCAACATTTTTTGATTTTTTTGTCGCTATATCATCGATGTGTTTTTTTTTCCATGTGAGATGCTCGTCAAAAGTAATGCCCAAGAATGTAGTGCTCTTTACTTGACTAAGATTGGAATCGTTTAAAATGAAGGGAACACTGTGATTGAGTATATTTATACTGATGGGCACAAAAAATCATATAGTTCGATTTCAACAAATTAATGCAAAGCTTGTTAGCTAAGAGCCACGTACTAATTATTTTCAATTCAACATTAAGGTTTCTAATAGCAGTATCAACATTTTTATGAGTATATAATAAACTAGTGTCATCGGCATAAACAAAATGAAATAATGTCAGAGGTGTTAATGATATCATTAATATAAATGATGAAAAGTATTGGGCCTAATACAGAACCCTGTGGTATTCCACATGTAATATCTCGATAGGGAGAATTTACACAATTATAAGACACGTACTGCTTTCTAATACTCAACTTTTAAATAAATCAAGTGCTGTTCCACGCACACCGTAGTGTTCCAACTTACTTATTAAAATATCATGATTGACTGTATCAACAGCTTTTGACAAGTCTAGAAATATGCCAATCGAGAAATTATAATGTTCAATCGCGGTACATATTTTACTTAGAACATAGGATGTCGCCAGATCAGTTGACCTTTTTAGTCTAAAACCAAATTTTGCATCAGGCACGATATTGTGCTTGTTCATAAAAATATTAATCTTGTGTAAATTAACTTTATATATTAATCTTGTATAAATTAACTTTTCAAATAATTTGGAAAATGTGGACAATACCAATATGGGTCTATAATTACCGAAGTCATGCTTACAACCTTTTTTGTAGATTGGTGTAACCTGTGCTATTTTTAAATCATCAGGAAACACTCCAGCTGTCAAGCACTTATTAAATATGTCGGTTAAAGGCTTCGCTATAGAATACCGTGCTTGTTTAATAACAAAATAGCTTAAGCCATCAAATCCGGAGGCCTTGCCAGAAGGAAGTTTATTAAGATTATCCACAATCTCGTCTGGGGTAACAGGTGACAAAAAGAATGAGTTCGAGCATGGGCTCTTTAAAAATGAACGAAAAGAAGTGTTACATGACGGTAGTTTGCTAGCAAGGTTATTGCCAACATTGACAAAATAATTATTAAATGCCTCAGCAATCTCCATGTTACCTTTAAGATTAGTACCATCTGGTTAAAAAAAGAAGGGTGAGCATTTTGCTTTCGCTTATTTAGAAGAGAATTAATTACATTCCAAGTACCTTTAATATTGCTTTTTACTTCATTACAAAATTTTATGGAGATAACTTTTTTTTGATAATTTAATAAGAGAGTTAAGTTTATTTTTGTAGCAAGTATATACAGATTTATTGTGCGAAATAGGTTTCTTCCTGAATTTTCTATACAAATAATTGTTACGCCTAATTGAATGGGGATTTTAAGTTTATCATAACGGCATTTTACCTCGTGTAAAGGAAAGTTTTTGTTTTAAATTTGTGTAACATGTAACAGAAATGTATTGTACATACTATGAATATCATTTGATGACGTTATTTCATCCCATTCAGTATCATTCAAGTCATGAATAGAATTGTCAATATTATTGTGGTTAAAGTCACGCTTTTTACATTTGCGATCAGGTTGCTCTCTTTCTTTAAGGTTTTCAATTACTAAAATTACAGGAGGATGGTCATTGATATCGGTCACCAAAACACCGGCAGGATGAGTTTGATAAACATTGGTAAAAACATTATCAATAAGAGTTGCACTTTCCGTAGAAATCCTGGTTGGTTTGTCGATAGTAGGATAGAAAGAATGAGATAATAAGGTATTCAGGAAGTTTTGAACGCTATTATCAGTATCACATTCCATTAAGTTGATATTAGAATCGCTCATAATGTAACACGATTTATTCTCACTATCTATTTGTGATAATATTGTATCAATACTTTCAATAAAGTCATTACATGTCACATGTCACGCAAGGAGGTTTATAAACAATTCCAACGATAACGTTCGCTTTAACTTAGATAAGTTTGGTACTTGGAACACTAAAATCAGTGATACCTCGCGCGCCCGCATTTTGTTTGAATGTAGCGCGCGTAGCATAGGCCGAGATTTGTCGGGTCAATAATTTTGTTGCTAGCGCTCTCTAACGCCGTGGCGCCGTGAACCGGCTGCTTTAAGGGAACTAAATCCTAATCAATTCTGGGAACAAGACTATGTTGAATTGAGATAAGATCCCCCAATATGTACGAGTTTAGCCTCTCAAGATAGATCCTGAAGGGTTTTCAGACTGTATTTTTATAAAATATTATGAGGCCGGCGAAAATGATACTCGATCTTCAGCCCTGAGGCACATAGGAAACAAAGGCATTGTAATATTCAGTGTTTTACTCGCAAGCATGGCGAATGTATAGCTAAACATCTGATTTTGCATGAATTGATGAAGAATTTAATGTAAATCATTGAATGTCGGTATTCATATTCATATTTATATTCACACAGATGAAACTTTCCCAGTTCGTCTTGTGGACGGTATGTCCTATGCATCCGGACGAGTTGAAATATTCTTCAACGGCCAATGGGGAACCGTTTGCTCGCTTGACTGGGACTTGGCAGACGCCACGGTTGTATGCAATCAGTTGGGCTTCGACGGAGCAGAAGCTTCAGTCTACCATTCCCTCTTTGGAGAAGGCACCGGGCCTGTTGTGATGAACCGTGTTCAGTGTAGCGGCAATGAGAGCAAACTGGCTGATTGCCCTTTTGCCGGATGGGGAAATACACGAAACTACTGTGAAGATATCGTAGGCGTCATATGCAATAATTGTAAGTTTCCAACTGTTGATTTACAATGGACCGAGTCGCTTTTATGTGTATATTTGCAGTCGACAATTTGAATCCGCGGTCTGATTGGTCACAATCTTAATATCATTGTAAAAGTTCCACATTTACATAGCATTGCATGATGAAAACTAATCGGCCAGTTCAAGGTTCCTCGAATTTTATGTCATGACGTCGTCAAGTTGCCCTTGTCGATAACACCAGCGAAGTAAGGTCAAATGGCAGAGAAAGCATGATTTAATGCAGGTCTGTTTTGAAACATTTCATCTTGCATATTACCAGTGCTTCTTTATGATTATATAAACAGTAACATAATGACCATGTATTGTTAGGCTATGGCGCGGATAGAAATGCCGTTGTTGGAAAACGACTCTAAGCTGTTATCTTATTAACTATACGGCACAAATTAAGAAGACGTTTACAGGCAATAGACTATCGGCTAGTATAGTTGTAGGATTCTAATCAACTTTCCCAGAATCTTCCCGCAATGACATCATCATAAGCATTGCTTATCACCTGATAACTTCATTGGAAAAGACGGTTCCGGTGAAGTTGTTCCAAATTCCACAAGTTATACCGGATACAATGGACTTTTATTATATTATAATCATGCGTCGTAAAGTCAATGAGTATTATAATCATGCGTCGTAAAGTCACTGAGTATTATAAGCATGCGTCGTAATTACTCGTAAAGTCACTGAGTATTAGGCGAGGCGTCATAAATAAATTAACCGTTCGCACGCGTGCGCACGCGTTCCTTCCCGTTCTGAACGGCCCCCGTTCCTTCCCGTGCCGAACGGCTTTTAGAACGCGTTCCGTAGATCGTGCTTGGGCAAGCTTCACTGAGGGGGTATTGTTATGTTAATCAACCGTTCCTTTGAGTGCGAGAACGGGAGCAGCACAACAAAGATGCGAAGAACAACTATGTGTATATACTTGTACAGAAAAAAAAAATCCGTTTTGGTTTGGAATTTAAATCAGATTTGGAATTTGAAAACCCGATATCGTAGCAAGCATTAAATAAAAAAAAACATTTCAGAGTTTAGACAGCATGAGCAGGTATGAGGAGTTTGATAAGATTTATGCCTTTTTATCCTTAAATATCGTTGTCTGTCGCTGGGCGGGGCGAAAAAATATGTATGGTCTAGGTTATATTAAAAATGCGGAGATTGGAAGGGTTAAAAAAATATTGCAAAGGACTGCTTTCCCCGTTCAAGGTGCCCGTATTTGTATACGTCCCCCCTGTACTGTACGGGCTAGCCTGTAGCGACGAGAAAGTTTGTCGGATACTTTTAGTGCCGATGAGCTCTTCGTGTGTGCACAGACCGTGACTGGCCTTTTGTTGTATAAGAACGCGTTCGGAACGGGATGCCGTGAGCCCGCGTGCGAACGGGAGGTAGACGTAACAAAAGGCCCCGTTCCTAGCGTGCGCACGCGTTCGAACGGTTAATTTATTTATGACGCCTCGTCGTAAAGTCACTGAGTATTGTTCGCATGCGTCGTAAAGTCACTGTGTATTGTTCGCATGTGTCGAAAAGTCACTGAGTATAATTCGCATGCGTCGTAAAGTCACCGAGTATTACTCGCATGCGTCGTAAAGTCACTGAGTGTTATTCGCATGCGTCGTAAAGTCACCGAGTATTACTCGCATGCGTCGTAAAGTCATCGAGTATTATTTGCATGCGTCGTAAAGTCACTGAGTATTATTCGCATGCGTCGTAAAGTCACCGAGTATTATTTGCATGCGTCGTAAAGTCACTGAGTATTATAAGCATGCGTCGTAAAGTCACTGAGTATTGTTCGCATGCGTCGTAAAGTCACCGAGTATTACTTGCATGCGTCGTTAAGTCATCGAGTATTATTTGCATGCGTCGTAAAGTCACTGAGTATTATTCGCATGCGTCGTAAAGTCACTGAGTATTATTTGCATGCGTCGTAAAGTCACCGAGTATTACTCGCATGCGTCGTAAAGTCACTGAGTATTGTTCGCATGCGTTGTAAAGTCACTGAGTATTATTCGCATGCGTCGTAAAGTCACTGAGTATTATTCGCATGCGTCGTAAAGTCACTGAATATTATTTGCATGCGTCGTAAAGTCACCGAGTATTACTCGCATGCGTCGTAAAGTCACTGAGTATTGTTCGCATGCGTCGTAAAGTCACTGAGTATTATTCGCATGCGTCGTAAAGTCATCGAGTATTATTTGCATGCGTCGTAAAGTCACTGAGTATTATTCGCATGCGTCGTAAAGTCACTGAGTATTATTCGCATTCGTCAGTTGGTAACGGAATGGTTCTCGGATTTAAGTTCCCTTGAAAAAAAACCCAGGGCAAAGAATCAGAAAGAATAAAGGGACTTTTATTTCATCGATCAGGAAGGGGGGTGTTACATTACTTGCAGTTCTTCAAGGTGAAAGAAAAGGTCCTGATGCCAGAATTTAAAATGCGCGACACATTGCATGTATAGTCACTTACCATAATGCGCATGCGTCAGTTGGTGACAGAGTAGTTATCGGACTTAAATTCCCTTAAAAATCCCCAGAGCCATGAATCAGAAACAAAGGAGAATTATATTTCATCGATCAATAGGAATTGATTAAGTTTAAGCAAGAAATTCATTTCTGGGAAATAGTTTTCACCTGCAGCATTCTTACCACCGACCGAGCGTAGCAGGCCACAGTGATGTCATGCTTTTCGCAGTGAAATTTAATACATGTATGTTATTTCAAATCAGATGACATGTTAATCAATCACGTGATTATGTTTCACGCATGCGTATTTAAGCTAATGGCTTTACCAGCCTGCAGAAGCAAACTTTGCGTCCCGGATATTTAATGATATAAGCATGATTCCGAAGTATATGTTTTACTCATCCAACTTGTATACAGGATTATAATAAAACTGCATTTAAACAATATTTGTATTTTAATTCATATATAAGCGGCTTTTGGACAAACATGCCCGCCTCCAGAATCATCATATATTGACGGAGTCCCAACCATCGAGGTCATAATTCCTCGAGGAGAATCGACAGCCAACGTGAACTGGACTCTGCCAACGCTTGTCAACGTACCAGAAAGTTACGAAGAATACACGACGTGCAAAGCCATTGGTGATGAGACTTCCCGTAGGCCGTGCGAGAGTGGCGGGTCGTTTGGCGTCACAAATATCCTATGGACCCGGTTCAACAATAAGACAGAGGTGGAAGTGGTAATGGTGGTTGATCTGGATGGAAATAACTCTGTCAGTCACCGATGTACGTTCTACATATCCGTCCGAGGTGAGAAACCCTTCTCCTCATTGTGTGCGTGACAAATAATGCCACTGACCTCTGGCCAATGTGTCTTGAACAGTGTTATAGTTGAGACGGGATATTGTTCGAGACCAACACCAAGACCGAGACCTGGAGTTTAGAGACCGAGACCTTTTAAAAGGGTGACTGCTCTATGTTCCGACACCCCTATGTTCCGACAACCTAGATTGTGTTACTCCCGGTTAGGGTTAGGGTTAGGGTTAGGAATAGGAATATGTGCAGTCGGAACATAGGGGTGTAGGAACATAGAGGTGTAACCTTTAAAAGTACCGAGACCGAGACGGAGATGGTCCGAGACCGAGACTGCGAATAGTACACTGAAAAAAAACACATCATGAAAATATACTACATCAATGAATAACAAGTTGATTGCATGTAGACATTTAATGGAACTTGTAACCTGCAAGAACAAATTAAGGCCTTTCACACTGCAGTGATAACATCATTGAAAACGAGATGAAAAATGTTGTATCAACCAACGATACTGAACGAAAACAATAAACGCAATGCAATCGATATTATGAGCGAAAAACGCTGCATACTGCTGGTCTCGACTCTAAACCAGCAAAAATATCGAGACCACAGGGAACCGAGACCAATACGGGTCGGAGACCGAGACCAGCAAAAAGTGGTATCGAGACGGGTCTCCAGAACGAGACCTACATCGTTTGTCTTAAAGTAACCGTCTGCCATCTTTGATCCCCAAAACGTCACGTTCTGCAGTTGAGGTTTTTTTTCTTTTCAAACAGTAACTTCCCTAAAGGCCTAATCATTTATTCTTCGGATGTTGGCCATCCTAGGAGTGGGATTGTCGAAATATTGCAAAAAGCCCATCATTATTATTTTCGCTTCCCAAACTACCATTAAATCTATTATCAAAACTATACAAGTTTAAACCAGCAGTTACTGTGTGACTCAAGATGGCGGAAACTGCGTCAATGCGTGGACATTGTCAGCCAGTACAGTTAGTATGAAGATTAGTGATATGTACATTGATAATGGATAGTGACCTACCCATAGGGATTAGTGGTCACCAGCGTCATTGAATAGAGCGGTGGGAGACGAGCAAGTGCCTTGCAGTGAACCTAAGGACCCAAAGCCCATTTCACATTAATGTTTATGCAAGACATGTATGCCCCGGTCGCGATTTTTGTTTCTCCCAAACTACATCCGCATATGGGTGTGCGCTATGGCGTTTTGGACTTTACTTTTCTAAAAACATGAGAGGGAAATATAAAATTAGAAGAAATGAAATGAATTCGAACGTAATTCAATTCGGACAAAAATCCTCTGAAGCCCCAGGTTAGAAAAGAAAACAGATTCGGGTACAAAACGGTGATTTAAACCCGCAAACTCGCGGTGCAAAATCACGACCCTGTATCGACTGAGCTATCACACTGCTCGCCAAGACGTGGGGAAACAACTTAAAAACCTCGTGTCATTGGACGTAATTTGTTTTGCAGAAAGTCTCGTCAGAGATGGAATTAATCCCTTTGCTCGAATTCCTGTGGAAGGCCAAGACGTGCCGGCAACCACCGCTGGTTACAACTCAAGCAAAGGTACATTTTTTCATTGAAAAGCCTATTTTTTTGTTTTAGGCCTGGTTTTCAAACACTCGCAAAAACGAATTTTCCTTTTTCAATACAACGCCGCTCGCCACATGAAACAAATTTACCGAAATTGGGACAAATGAGAATGATAGGCTACAAAGTTGAATTACATGACACCTTAAATGGAAACCTTTTAAAATTGAAGTTAATAATGATAGTAATAAAAATACCGGAGTCTTATATTATACAGCGCACGTTTCTATCAAGAATTGGGCACTCAAGGCGGTGATAATTATGTCTATTTCTTAAAGCAGGATAATGAAGTTAATGAAATAATGAGGCCCATTATGTAGTACCTTTATAAAGGTTAAAAAGGTGTTTCGGCGCATATTGCAGCCACTGCCAGAAACACCGGGGTAAACCCCTTCTCTTGGCAATAATTGAAATTGATGTTGAGAATTGAGCTCGATAACGTTCTGTAACGAATCGTTATATGGAACTTGTGTAATACAAGTGTTAAAATAATTGGGAAAACCAATACTAAATTATATTTATTTTGTTAAATATTAGGGCCATGTCCTGAGGATGTGACGTATAATGAGGCGTTTGGCTCCGTCACATGGCCTGCGACTGAGGCTGGTGTACAGGTGGAATCCGTGCAGAAATGCCCACCGATGACGTTAAATGGTAAGACTTGAAAAGCGAGCCGAAGTTGTCATAAGATTATTACCCGTTTAAAAGATAAACTATCGAGATATAACAATAGACGGCAGCGATTCTAAAGTTGTCGGACTCAGATATCTGAGCCGGAGCATTAACTTCGTGAAATATAATAATGCACACGACACTAGTGCAATCAGATCAGGTTTGCTTTCGATTTCGAGTGAAACTGTAAATTATCAAACCCTTGTATGTGTTACGGCTGCCCTCAAACGAACAATATAAACATGGTGCTCATCTTTGTTTAGCTGGTAGCCCAGTCGGCAAGAGGAATTGCTTACGATGCAATGACCAAGAAGAACCCAGGTGGGACGAACCGCAATATCAGAGCTGTGACGAACAAGTAGGCCTACAAAATACGGGAGGGCAAGCGCCGGTATGTATACTAGAAGGGGCCAACTAAAACTCTGGAGGGCGCCCCTGCACAATTATGAATTTCAGGTCACTGTAGTGTAACCGGATATAGAGTTCATGAAAGTCTACACAAACTGAATGAATTTCGTCCTTATTTCAGCAATTACGTTGTGAATTACGAGTCAGGGTGTAAGTGGCAGTTCGAAGGGACATTCAGAAAGCAACTTGCTATGTATACGAATGCTCCAAAAGGGTGTAAATCGTCAAAATTAAGAAGAGATCAACTGAGCGCGAAACTAACACACCTTTGCTAGGAAGCGCGCGTGATTACAAACCAGTGTTTCGTTTTAAATACAGTAATATTGCTTCCCCCGGACTTGTCTATAAAAGCTTCACATTTCGTTGATTAGTGATATGATTAGTGATTAATTCAAGATTTAGTATCCCTATATGCTACGGGCTTTTTTGCTACCCTTGTCTTCAGGTTTATTCAAACGGAAGTCACGTGGCCAAGCTTCTTTCTCAGATAACATCTTTGGAGATGTGGAGCAATGGCCAACTGTCTGGACAGAACATCAACACAATAGCTGACATCTTGCAGAACATTTCCAGTGCTGGTGTCGGCAATCCTCAGGTATGTATTATGTAGTAAAAAGCCAATCTTATCATGGAACTTTACTGCAATCCGAAATAGCCTAGACTTGACGTAAACAAAAGACGAATGAGTTGCTATTTTCTGATCATATCACAAGAAGACGACAATTAGTTTGCTGTTTGCATGCTCGAGGAATTTAAGCGGTTGTGTCTTTGCTTGAAAGCGGTATTGATACACATGCATCGGTTGCACGTACTGCAGCCATCTTTGGGGATTCAACAGAGATACGTCTGAGCAGACCACTTGTGTATCATTATTAATGAATTAACATAACAAAACACACCTCCAAGACGGCTGCTGAAAGCAGTCGATTTCCGGAGGGTACAACTTATTATGAAGATAGTACAACTCATTATGAAGACAGACTCCAAGTGGTCGGAGTAGGTTTTTGTTTTAATATTGGTATTTTCTTTTCCTGTCAATTTCAAGACCATTTCAGATACAAAACTACTGTCGGGGATCCAATCACTTATTACGAAGTAAGAGTGCTTTTTCTTTTTCTTCACCGAGCGGAAATCTAAAACAAACTCGAATGACACTCATTTTGTGAAGTATATCGAAACCGAATTGAGTTTGGGCCTCGGAAGAGGAACATAAAAGTCATGACAGTTGCTATAAGGTACCGGTTGTCTTTTATTGAGATGATGTCGATCCTTGACACATTCTATCTTCCTTATAAAATAATATTGGTCTCATGGAGGGCAGGTCTAGAAGGTCATCTTTGCACTAGACTGACTCATTCAGTGACTGACTGATGACTGACTGAATGAATGACTGACACTTGTGAACCAGACTGGTTGCCTATCTCACGGACTGTCTGTCACTTATGGCTTACACTGCTCTGCCGGCTGCGTGCAACGTATCCATTCGTGTATGTCGTATGGCATCTACACCGCGTGTGCATGTAGCGCGACTTGTTTATGTACTTCCATGAAGCCAATAAGTTAATTCGGCATGCGAACAACATTAAGACTACAGCTTTCTTTAATGAAATTGTGAATCGGCTGATTTTACACCTGCAGGTTACTGATGAAGTTCTTGACGTTGCTGATAAGACCATGCGTGCTTTGAAACGCCACGACGCATCTGACAACACGGAAGCAGGCAAGCTTGTCAGCATTGCACAGTCAATCGAGACTCAGGTCTCCTGGACCCTTCGACAGCAGGGTGAGGTCAGTGTCCAGAAGGATTCCATCAAAGTCAAAGCGGCCAACCGCAACTCCTCCGATGTCAGCGGCGGTCTAAGCTTCGCCTTGGTCCGTCACCAGAACGGTCTACCGCCCTCTGCCGGTCCAACGCCGGAGGATGGAGCCTTTTCCGGGTCAGAGGTCAGAGTTTATGAGAGCAGCGGCGAAATACCAGATGAAACGATTGCAGCCGTCAGTCTACCATCCAATCTGTTGGCATTGGTCGAGGCAGAAAATGGTTCGTATCAGCGGAAGGGTTTGTATAAACCACTGCCCTATAATAACCGAACTGGCTGAAAATGTCCATGCTCTAAAGTAGTTGTAAGCCACCTTGAGTCTCCCATGATGCACTCTCGGGAAAGTGATATAGTTTCAAGGGTAGTTAAGCATTTGACTGCTCCAGAGTGAAGCGGCAAAGTTTCTCCAACTGGATTTTGAGAATTGAACAATTCATTCCTAGGACTGGCCAGTATTTCAAAGCGTAATTGATTATCATGGGAGTTGGTGTTTTAAGTTGCAGAACTAAGCTAACATCAACAGTAGAGCGATGTCCACGTACGTCCTGTCATGTCGCTTATAGATTCAATATGGTTGATCAGTTGCTTTAAGTCTCTTTTTCCACATAGCTTGTCCAGTTTGTATAATGGTCAGCGTTAGAGATTCTGGGTTAATTAAAAGTCCGAGAATTTTTTTGTGTGTTTATGTTCTTTTTTTCCCATAGATACCTCATAATTTCACTTTGGTTTTACCTTTAGGCAACAGCTCACTGATGTACATTGCTACTCGTTTCATCGCCTATGGGGATGACTCTCTTTTCCCTTCGACAAGGAAATCCTTGTCAGGAACAGGAACCCGTTCGGTTATTCCCGGTGCAGTAGTTTCTGTTGCTGTCGAGGATGTGGAGCTACGGAACCTGACTGAACCAGTTGTTATTCAGATTCAGGTAGGATGACGGGTAACCTACAGGACCACGTAGTATGGGGGAAAAGTCGTGAAGAGTAACTCACAGCAAAATGTAACATTTTTGGAAAAAAAAATGTCATTAAGTTTATAGTGACAATTGTTATCGTGGAAAGCCTTTTAATTCTTTTGAAAACTACTAGAATATATTTTCCTATAGGCAGACGTTTGTAACAAGATTTTTTGATAGATACCTGTAGCATAGATATCCAAATGGCTGTACATTTGCGCCATTGCTATTTGAATTGCCTTACTACAGTGAAAGATCTGAATCAAGCGGGTTGCCTCGGCTTCCCATCCACAACTTGCTCATAGAGAATATTCGTTAATAAACACCAAAATCCACAAGACTGCGGATTTCGTGGCTACGTCTTGCGGTAGCACATAATGTCAATGGGAAGTGGATTTCGCTGGTTGCAAGCGCATCACACGGGACCTGACACTCATTTTGACAGTTGCTTATGAGGCAACTTTGGGCACCTACAGAAAGCCACAGGCTTTTATTCATCCAGTGTTAATCGTGATCTGACGAATATAGGGTTTGACTTGAGATTTGATTCTTGATTGTCTAATGGTTGACTCGATTTACAACTCTAGCTTCCAGTGATTATCAACATCAAAGAGGTCACGTGTGTCTTCTGGGACTTAACTCTGAGAAACGGAGTCGGTGATTGGTCCAATGCTGGATGTGAGTTTCAGGGAGTGACCAATGGGCGACACAGATGTCATTGTAATCACGCAACCAACTTCGCAGTATTTGTAGTGAGTATATGTCCCTCGGATTTAAGTAATGTGGGATGTTTGCCTAAACATTTCTCCATTTTATGTTTTATACGGTGTGCATTGCTCATGACATGAGAAGAAATGACGACAAAAGGATGACGTGAAAAGAAATGACAACACGTGGATTTTTTTTTATCCTATTTGGGGTTAAAATCAATCAAATTCAATGTTATAAATATCTGGATAAATCACTGGATAATGACGAAAAGAAGCGAATTATTATGGTACAGTCATGTGGTTGCGAAGGGCGATTTCTAAAGGTTACGTAAACTTAATTTTGAATGAAACTACATTTACACACATGTTCACGTTGGCGGGTGAAATCTTTGAAAATTAATTTCCTCAGTTTGGAAGACCGTATTTTCATGCAACATTCAGGATTAATTGCCTTATAATGATCCAAGTATATGTGCTAAAAATCGTTGTGATATGTTCATTATTTTTCGTTAAAATTGGAAAAATAGGCCTGGCTACGTGCATTTTTGAAAATTGTAACACTGGCGTTTGCAACATATGTCAATCTTTTCAAGCCTGAGGAATATTAATAAGGTTCCTATCCGTAACGTTGTGCAGTAACAAAATGGAGAAAAACCTTCTACACGAGTAATTAATTGATAAATATCACCCTTTTTGCCGGCTTCCATTGGTCGATACCGAGACCCACGCCTAGCCCGCCGAGTGACGCTAATGAATATAATCTACCATATGTTATTGTGTGGCTTGGCCGGAATCCGTCAACCGTAGACAATGCACGTCGGTTGTGTCGGCGGAAAATCCTCGTCGAAATTTTCCATGGAGATTGTTCTAGTTGTAGCACTACCGTTGGCAACAATAGATTAAACTGAAATTCTGAATATTCTTAGTGTTGAACTAATCGTGATTTAATCAAATTCCTAGAAATTGAGGTTAATACATGCATTTGGGACGATTCCTTCCAGACTTGAAGGTCAGCTTTACCAGTTACCAGTATTGACGTTTCGGCATCGATAAGCAAGATTTGTTCACTGACGTGAAGTTTAGAATCTCGTCTTCCGTTACAATTTTACAATTCAATCATACTGAGCATATTTTCTGATAAACACAACGTTCAAAAGGCCATGTTTTTCGGGTGCATGGATTTCACTGCTCTATTATAGCGTCTAAGTACGTAATCGGATTATCTTTGCCTAACTAAACCAGACGCTTATTGCCTTAGCAACTACATGACTATACCTAAACAACTTAGAACAGCCGCTGCAAAGACACACCAATTCGTTAGTTACAAATCTATTAAATTCGGTAAAATTTCAATACTGACACCAGGGATAATATAGATGTGTTGTTTTTATTTTGCAAGGAACTAGAAGACGAGTTGAAGTCATACCATCGAGCATTGAATCCAATCACACGGATTGGCTGCATTGCATCAGCAGGGATGTACGCGTTCATGCTGTTGATGTATTTTCCGTTCAGGTAGAAAATGCTAATGTACTTATTTTGCGAGATGCCAATAATAAATTAACAAACATTGCAAATGTAACGGCAGAAATATTATCATACATAGCCCAACACTGTGTTCCACTTCAAAATAGATCTTGAAATAATACGTTACTTTAGTGATGTTAATCTTGTTTTGAGTTTGGTGAATTGTCTGTGAGATTTTTGATATAAGGAACTAAATTAATTGTATGGGTTATGTATTTTTTGTAGGAAGCTGCGCGCGCTGAAATCCGGCCAAATATTCGCCCAGTTCATCCTGTCGCTACTGTTATTGTACACTGTGTTGGTGTCCGGAGTAGAGAATGCGAAGGTATTATTGTATGTTGTATGATTGTATGAAAAGGTTCCACTTTCACTGAGACCAACAACAACATGACATAACAAGTTACGTTAAATGTTATGTGGACCTTAACCCTTTTTTTGTGAATTTGAAATTCCAAGCTAGAGCCTTTTTAGTGTTTACCGTGTTCAACTCCGCAGAGTGGAATGAGGTACTATATACTGTAACATCACCTAGAATAAGATTGGTTTTATTTCACTGACAGGTTTCAACCTACGGTTGTGTAACTGTGACTGCTCTTCTGCACTACTTGCCACTATCCACAATGATGTGGACGGCCATTGAAGCAAGAAACATGTACACCAATGCTCTGACGAGGCAAACTCCTACGGATGGAACTTATTACATGATCATTGCGAGTACCGTGGCGTGGGGTGGGTATATTTTGATGTATGGGGAATCATATTGCATTGTTTTATTTTCCATTTGTCACAAATTAATATATTCTTATGCAGCAGTTTATTTACTACAACAATATATAATTTAATAGAATGCTAATACATGTACAACACTTTGATATATTTGAATGAGTTTGTTTCTTCATTCAATAGGGGACGTTAAACTATAAAGGACAATAAGGTCCCCAATTCCCGAGAGGTCCCCTATTTGGATTCGTGTACAAACACATATGGGAGGTCTTCCCAAAAAGTTATGAGTACAAACAAAACAGGGGTCCCCGATTGCAGGCAAATACACACTTGTGTGTATGGGGAACCTACTATCATTTTACTGTCCGGTGGAGACATGAACCTAGTGCATTGAGGACACTGGTTTATCGTAGTTTCTGGTTGGAGGGGAATTTGTGTATATATGAAATTAAAAGTGGCCGTAATTTTGTTTTTTCGGCCATAAAAATATATTTCGCTAATTGTGGGGACGGAGAGTAGAGGGCTTCCATAGGAAACCTACAAGCAGGGGCAGGGGGGGGGGGGGCACTTGTCCCAAGATTTTCCCAGGCCGACACAAGTGCCCCTCTTGTGCCCTTCGAGATGTAAACAAAACTGCCCCTCAAACGCACACGTATGAAAGCATAATGCTTGCGCTAAAATAAAATCGTTTCCTGTTGTAATGCAAAACTGCCCATCAAAACACATTGAGGATTGTGCACATTCTGGAGAAGGAAAACTACCCCTTGAAAGCACAATTATACCTCTCACAATAATAATTCTGTATCCTTGAAGGTGCCTGTTTTTTCATTGTCTTCCCCCAGGACTCCCCCTGATTGTGACAAGCATATATCGCTGATAGTTGCAACTGACCAGTACGGCACCGCTGATAAGTAAGAAACTGTTTTGTTTTATTCAGCTGGTAACATCTGTGTTTTGACCATGGGATGACGTTTGGTTTATTGGAAAAAATATAAACTTTGAAATTACAATAGTGCACCACAGGAAAACAAAAACAACACAGCTCCCAATTTCTTCATGCTTATTAAAACAGGCTTATTAAAAACATCATCAAATTTTCTCTATTTAAAAATATTGTATTAAGGTCATCAAACAACAGAAGTTAAACAAGAACCATCCAAATAAATTTAAAGTTAGATTGAAGTGTTTAAACAGTTCTAGTAACTGTCTGCTAATATGGCTATATATCTTGTATCAAGTTACAATCAAGCCTGAGTTCATTAAGTACCGGTACACTAGTGCTTGTGAAGCAAGTTCTGTTGGGAATGATTTGACAAACTATGATTCACTGAAATATAAACTCCTGGTATCATTTTCAGCTGCTTTTTAGCGCCAAATCTGGCGATGTACCTGGGCATCCTCCTGCCAATCTGTCTCATTCTGGTCAACAACGTCGTCCATTTTGCTCTGGTGGTGCGCGTCCTGCGCAAATCCAAGGATGAGCCTCCCTATTACGCGCAGATGACAAAACGCCTGGTGACGGCCGTGGGGATCTGCACTCTGACATTGGCTGCCTGGTATGTGGGATATCTTTCCCTGCAGGCTGCGTCAGATGCCTTCTCAATCAGCTTCTGTGCGGTCAACTTGGTCCAGGTGAGGTTTAAGGTGTCTCTTCACCTTTGACACGTTAAAGTTGTTCTCCCCGTGCTTTTCCTTTCTTTCGAGTCTAACCCGAAAAAAAATACATATATGTATATAATTATATATAGTTGAAATTTCAAATTGGTTTGCTTTTTTAAGCAAAACAGTTTTATTCACTTTGAATAAGTCAACATACACATTTTGGATTAGCCTACCGTTCTGTGCGGCACAATTATTATTCGGGTGTATCATTTCGTGCTTTGTGGGAGCAAAACAACCCAAAATAATTTGCTTTCAGGGGGTTACAAAAGTCGAAAGTAAACAATATAGCGATTCGATCTTTAATCATGTACCAACACCTTCGTGCTTTTAACCTCCCGCCAAATACTCCACTGTATTCGATTCCTTCTGCTTCTGTTCTGATCGATTCCTAGATCTGATGAGAATCCATTCTGTCATACTTGTATTCGATTCTTACCTTGCCTTGTTACTAAAGGTTGATAAAAAGGACGACCAGTCAATTGCGCCCTATGAAAAAAACAAAATACACGGTGTTCAAAAGAATCGCGTGACACAAAAACAATTGATAGCCGATGTTAACGTACCGTCTTGGATCAAGACTCGATGTAATTGAATTATTTACACTAATCCTGCAGTTATACGAAATGAACATCAATGACGTCTTGATTTGCAGGTTGCTCTTGCCTGCTTCAAAGTACACCTCATCGTCAAGGGAGACACTCTGTCCTCAGGCAAAGCCCATGGCGCCGAAGCGGCTGATGCTGGGAGCGAGGAGAACCCACCTGCCTCCCCGTCTAATGTCCAGATCGCCCTGCCTACTCTCTCGGAAGCTGGACCCGAATCGGACGGCAAGGAAGACGGGGATCAGACCGACCTTGCATTTGACGCGTCCTTGTAAAGTTCCAAGGGGGATCAGTGACAAGAGATCTAGCGGGAGTACGTGACTCCTGGGAATGTTGTAACCACAATTCGTGCACATTAATGTTGCGATAAGACACACACGGAGTATGTAGTCAGTGTTCGGTATTAATATATGTTTACATAAAAAGGTGAATGTGAAGTTGTATAAACATGAACACCTAGTTAGATTTGACTTTAGAAAACAGTCATACTTTCATCCAGCCGACTAGGCCTACTACAGCTAGGGTCATCTAGGTGCAAATTTAAGTAATATGTGTTTCAGAGTGCAGAACAAATACGAAATAAGAACTTTTTAGAAATCACTTTTTAGAACTCAAGTATTCTGGATGAAAGCAAACACATACACTTGATGTTATACGTGTGGATGAATGTTGTTTTATCGTGCACGTGGTAAATCAATGTAAATCAAATTTGGAATATCGGTTTTTGGTGGTTTTTTTTTTACCCACTTGACTTACTTCTGAAAGCGATTCCTAGCCCATTATCACTACAAAAATGTCCGTAAACTTGGTCCTGTTTTGACGTGTAGTCGAAATGGGTTGGGAAACACAACAAAGGATGGCTACCTCATGAATTAAGACCAATCGTTGTATCTTGTACAATCCTTGCCTTTGGCGGGCAACGGGGGAAAAACTTATGATTTTCAGAAATTAAGATTTGAGGCTTGGCACGGTGAAGATACTAATGAGTGAAAGGTTTGCGGAAACACGGGCATAATTTCTCAACTAAGAGAATGGTTCTGAAAAGAATCATCTCTAGCCTGGTTCTTTTCACAACCATTCTCTTAGTTGAGAAATTATTCCCATGGTGTTTCCGCAAACCTTTCACTCAATTTTGAGATAAATCTTAGCGAAGTTCATTGTAATAAACGATTCTTATCACTGTACTGCATTAACGATGCAACTTTCAATATTGGGTGGGGAGGAGAAGAGCACCTAAGTTTCAGACCAGTGTTTGATTAAGTACTGTGTGATGTTGTGTGGCTGATTGTAAGCAAGACTTGTGACGATTTATTCCGTAAAGTTGTCAAGCACCGGTAAAACAGTGTTGTGTTTAAATAATCGAGTGTACTAGTTTAAGCGTCAAAAGTTGTCGCATTCGTAACACGTAAATTCTAAGTAATTCGGTGTTGGTCAAGTGAAAAGCCATTCAAATACACTGTGGCAAAAGCACAGACGTCAGAGAGTAAATTTAGATGCATGACATAAAGGGTGGTGTCCATTTAGGATCAATGTTGTACTTGTAAAATGAAGGTGAATATTGTTGTATTGTTTTTTTTAAATAAATCTGGGGGGAGGGGGACACAAGAAAGTCTTAAGACAGTTGAGATCTCAGTAGCAGAATAGGGGAGGGGGCTTGGTTGGGGGGAACGCCCCATTCAGCCGCTGACTCATGTTAGGATACTAGGGACATTAATACTAAATGGAATGCTAAAATTTCTCAAATTGCCTTGGAATGTAAAGGAGAAAATATCGTTTATTTCAACCTTCCGGGGCCATTCGGAACGTCTACACTTAATCCCCTTTCATATCACCCCCTTCCCCATTTTTGAAAGTAAGAACCGCCCACGGATTCAGGAAAAGGAAACAGGTACTTAATTTGAGTAATAAAGAGTTGTCTGAGCGGTGTTATGTATTTGTTTTGTGATTTTGGGAAATTAAAGCGTTGTGAATGTTGTCATGAGATTCGTTCATATTGTCAGGTTTCATTTATCCCCTCAGTAACGGCACGGCATCGAAAACAAACAACAAACAACCAAAAACCCCAACAAACTACCACCCAATGGTGCTGCCGGCAAAGTAAAATCTGAAGAATGGAGAAGGAAGGGATAATAAACCCCGCTGCTAAAAAACCCGCGAAGCTAAAATCCAGTTCTGAACTCATGGCAAAAGATTGTACATGCTATCATGTCAGGCCTTCAGGGCTTCGATGTTGGATGTTTCATCTGTTATAGGAACTCGGATCCTGTACTCCACTGTCAATCCTTGGTTTCAGCTATGACTACTAACGGATATTTAAAGATGCAATTTATATTTTACATTAGGCCTCTTGTTTCCTTGAAAAAAAATATGACTTAACCTCTACCAAGACTTGTAAACCTGATTTTAAAAAAATGGGAGATAGAAAGTATTGAATTATTTTTAACAATATTTCCGTCATGGAACATAGACTTGTACATGTAGACCCACAAGTTGCGAAGTGCCTAACTGCAATTCACTTGCCGCGAAGCGCGGCCACTGCGTGTACAAAAGTACAAATTCCCTGGTGTACGTTCGTCACAAACAAGGAACGGTGCGCGTCAACCAGCGAAATGTCCCGTCCATGGGACGTCGTTGCTAGGTAAAAGGGCGCCCTCTTTTGGTGGCGCACGGCACTCTTACAAATACTGACTCACTGGTAGTGTTGCGCATGCCTACGTGAGGATTGAGGAACCGGTCCAAATTTCATGTGACACTGAAAGGTGTTGTAGACCAGCTAGCCATGTCTTTATCATCCGTTTTAAGACCGGCCACGTGACGGGCTCTCGACCAATAGGAATGGGTAAACTGAATATAGGTATTTATGAATGTCCCTTTAAGTATATTCGAACTCAATACACATGCAATTCCTACCAAGTCATTAATTTTCGTTTAGTTTCGCTCTATTGGTTGGAGCATACAGCGCAATATATATATACCGGCAATATAATGGTTAAAACAGAAGGTTGAACGCGTACAGGAACTCAGTCACAAGAAACTTTGAAACACAAATACAAATGCATTACCTATTATTGAAATTGCTTACAGCGGATGCACGTGATCCATTGTAAAGAATGTGTCATGTCCAGTATTACTGAAGATCGTATTGTCATCATGGTAAATGTGTTTCAAGGCCTCAATAATTTGATTTTTTTTTTCAAAATAATGGCCATGTTAAAGACAATATATTGTAACGGTCCGCCGACCCTTCGTCCCTGCCTCCAGCCGGGAGATGCCGCCGGACGGACGCTGACAGGATTAGGCTTTCCCGATGAGCGGTTACCGGGAAACCCGGGACGTTACTTCGTTTGGAGGAAGTATACCCCCAGGCATTGCAGTGGACCAGAGATACTCGCACTCAATCACTCTCACCCTATTAGGCTCAATAACTCACAGGAGACAATGATTAAGTCACAGTCCTATTTATATAACGTAACAATGGTGTTTTATTGTGTGCGCCTTGACAGGCGACTCCTATATAGGCGTCTATCGCTAACTCTAACGTGGACACAATGTTGGCTGCTTATTCTAACTCTTCCTGGCCAGTAAACTCACCAACTAGTGAGGTAAAGGCAGCCCGTCCGGTTGGTCCCTCTTCTAGATTAACTCGCTAGCAGATAATCAATCGCAGCGCTGTCAGACCTGCATGAAACTGGCTGACGACTCACCCAAGAAATAACTCGTGTCATGCGCTTCTGCTTGTGACTCAGCTTGTGACTGCCAGAGTGAGTGAGTGAGTATCGCGCGCGCGGCTGACGCACGCTTTTATACCCGCGGGCAGCGCGTGCATACAGTAGCAGCGCGGAGACCACCGACGCGGGCACCAGTACCCTAGACTGGCACTATGTCCAATGTTTCGTTACAATATTATCCGTTTCTCTGATCATTTAGTGATCACTGAGCTGCCTTATTGTGAATCTGTTTGGATCATGTGTTATGAAGCAAACTCATTGTTCGCTCGTCCTGTGACGGCATCTGCACAATATGTTAAATCAAGTGCAAGTGCACAATAAGCTCTGGCCGTCTTGCATAAAAGTCTTGTATGAAATCTATCCCTTCCAGAGCTTAAAAACGCGACACCCCAAAAAACGCGACGCCGATGGCACAATATACACTCTAAACAGTCCGGCCGGGTCAAAAAATGGCACCTTTCTGGGTCAACATGGACATTTTTTGGGTCAAAATGACCCGGAAAATGAGTCACACATTGTAATTGTGACCAAAAAAGGTGTCATGATTGACCTGGAAAAGGGTCAGGCCCTACATGACCCTTTTCCGGGTCAAGTCTGACCCAGGACTTTTAGAGTGTCTGGAATGCCATACTTCAGATGTATACCTAGATTGATAGCGATTTAAAACCCACATGACTATAACATTATTGCACATCATTTTGCCTGCTTTGATACACTTTTTATAAACATTCCCCCCCCCCCCGAATTATAGGTTTTCCCGCACATTTTAAAACTGTTTTCATTCAGATTGATAACGGTTTACTTCAATTTCGTTTTGAAAATTCACGACCTTGCATATCCCATGTTCAATTTCGTCTTCGGTCGCTCATTTTCGCACTTTTTTCAAACAATGTCATACCTTAGCAATGCGTTTTCGTGAAAGACCAGTCAATTTCGTCGTCTTCAATTGCTGAATGTACGATAGATGAAGCAATTTTGTCATTTTGCAATCAATGTTAAATGAATTTCATTCAAACTCATCTCATGATTGAATGCTATCTTTGGTATTTTAACGTTTTCATCTGTTCATTTCTTCCAACTACCTGGATAATTATTATGCAAAATCGTAATATTTTTCAATACTTATTAGTTGTGTATCCATTAAGTTCTTTGACAATTGTATGCGTCATGAACTGAAAGAAATAAGGTAATGGCCTTCACGGGCAAATTTATGAATGCAGACTTTCCATTTTATGCAGGAAATAAGTAGGCATATAGTTATGTACATGTGAAAGCAAAATGCATTCATAATTTCACATCTTTTGGAAACAGTGAATCCAGTTCTTCTTGCCATTTGCAGTTTGTTTAACCTTCAATTTCTTGTCTTGCAATAAACCGTGCCAATACCAGCGTGCTCATTTTGTCTGATGAATTTGATAGAAAATTTCTGGAAATCGATTTAACAAAGACAAATTTAATCCTTGCATTAGGCCTACGTAGATGATCATCAGGTGAGACGAATTCCATTGTAATCTGACGACGGCAAATGGACAATGTTGAAATTGATGACCATTCTTCATTTGGAATGACCAATGACTAAATTCATTGTAGCATTTTCGCGTTCCAGTCACCTAGGGACGAAATTAAAGTTAACCGTTTACGCCAAAAAAAAAAATTCTCCTGTTTCTGGTATGGAGCTTGCCCAAAAAGTGGTGCGGCGACGCGGCTTTTTTTTTTTTTTACCTGATTTTTTTGCTTCAAATGTGTGCTGATGACTGCAAATGGTGCCCGACTAAACTTAGTGCAAATAATGGGAGTCCAGAGAGGTCACATAAAGCTTATTCTCAATTTTAACCCAATCTAAAAACACGTTAAAATTGTGCACCAGCAGGATTTCAGTCAAACCATTGAGTTTGGCGGTTTTGAGACTTCATCTTTCATTGAAAAAAAAAAACATTTTCATTTTGCCGACGCGCATGGCTACGGCGACGCGCGCGCATACCAGAAACCGGAGACTTTTTTTTTTGGCCTTATGAATTTCAATGCAACATTTGTTTAATGTGCGGGAAAACCTAAAGGCCTATTACAAACAATTTTTGTTAAATACAAGTACATGTATTTATTTATTTTTATTTTTTTATACATTAAAATTTAGTAACATTTTGTGGGAAACTTATGGGGCTTATTTCGGTCAATTTTCGGGAACAGACATATGCAAAATAAACGCGCATGCGCATCAATCGAAACAAAACCGCTGCTCCGAAAACCGTCAGCAAGAGTGCATTTAATGAGAACGGCATGGCATTTGGTCAAAATAAATGCGCATCGATGGAAGCAAAATCGCTGTTCTGAAAACCGTCAGCTAAGAGTGCATCTTATGAACAACCACAAATGACAAATAGAATTTGGTCAATTAGTGAATTATTTTTGGAGAATCATTTGGTCAATCTTCGGGGACAGACAGACAGACCGACCGACCACCAGGTGACATGTACAAGCTCCTGCCAGAGCTTTCAAAAATACCGTTTTCAAAAACCAGTCTGGAGTTTGATTCTCCATTTCGGTTCATAATATTAGACACGTGCATAAACAAATGTCCAGACCTACCGGGCCAATTATATAAAACAAGATGAGGCAGGCGTATACGCTCGTAGTAAAGCTACGCGCGTAGTAAAGCTGGCTAAAGAGAGCACAAAATTATATCAATTGAATCAATTACATGTACATGTATATTCACTGCAAGCGTTTCGTGCATCTGGTGTACACAATATTGGGCCGGATTTAGCCTATTACGGAGTAATCGCAGATACCTGTCCTTTACCAGCTAACAATCCAGGCTAAACGTCAGTCAGTCAGTCAGTCAGATAGGTACAAAGAGGACTACACGCTGGCTCCTCTGATGGCACCATGATTGTGAATTCGTGAAGGGGAACACACTAAGAAGAATTTTCCTAGGCGGGACGGTAATTTATGCTACCATTTCCAATTGTTCAAATACAGTAAGAAACCCTCTAAAACTTAGACACCAAACACCCCCCCCCAATAATAATACAGGTTTCCCTGCCCAATTTCCTTAGGGCCCTAAATATTCATTCACTTCTGAAAATCGGTCATTCATTTTCGTCTGTTTGAGAATCGCTCTGAAAACGCGTATCATTTTCGCTACCAGAGCATTCGATTCCATTTCAGTTCAATTCAAGTGATTGAGCAGCACCTTTCGTTTATGTCCATTCAGATTTGTTTATTACAAGACTTCTTTTTTGCTTTTAGAGGGCA